TTATTTAATGATATTAATTTTGAATTTTATTATATATTTGTGTGTGGTAATATTTAAGTATAATTTTAATATATAATAACTATTATTTGAAAATAATAATTTTATTTCATTTTAAAATAAAATTAAAGGTTTTTTAATTTTTTTTTTAAACTATAATTAATGTTTTTATTTAAGTAATTTTTAATTATCTAAATAATTAAATGGTTATATACCTAATTAGTAATAATTTAAACATAAATTCAAAGTATTTTCTAATTTTTTTAATAATTATTATTTTAAAGTAACATAAAATTATTTATTATTATTAATTTAGGTTAATAATTTGTTTCCTATTTTAATTAGTTTTAATTACTTAATTGCTTAATAATATTAATTAATTTAAATTCAAATATTTTTCCTAAATTAAAAAATTATCTTTTAAACTATTTTAAATTTAAAGCTTTAATATTTATTTTAAAATAATTTAATATATATATTTTAATTATTAATTATTTTAATTATTTTAATATCCCTTTTGTGTATTAAACTTTAAAAAAATCATTTAATTATTTTAAATCAGATGTTTGCGTATTATATATATATATATTAAATTCCTAATGTTGGGAGATCTATTTGTGAAATCTTAAACATAGATCATAAACATGAATAGTATTCATGGGGGGGAGGGGGGAAGATTAGTGTGTGATTGAGTCACAATCATTCACTAAACATATCATTAAGCATGCTTAGTCATCTTTTGCATGTGTAGGACGCACGAGTATTTAGCTTATACTCTCCTAGATCTTAGGATTGATGTGTTTACTTTCTTTATGCATTCCTTGCATGTTATTCCAAGGGTTAGTCCAAAATTTACTTTAAACCCATTCAACGTAGTGACAACCTAATTTAGTGAAACTTGAAAAACTTAAACTTAGTTACATCCTAAACCTCACAGAATTTTCTAAGAACCGTCAAGGGGTCGCATGCATATTAATGCACTCTCTTCTCCTTCTATAAGACACTTCCCCACCTACAGGTAGAGTCTGGATAATCTGATCTATAAGAATGAGGTGCTGGACCTAAGTATAGTCTTTTTCTAAAAATTATTTTTATAAGCCTATTTTTTAAAAAAATTCTAAGCATTAATGATTTGGAAGCCTTTTCAACTATTATGCATTGCATTAGAAACAAACTTAATCAAAATTTAATTGCATTAGCTCTAGGATCATTCATAGTACATAAGTCCAAGGCCAATTAGAAAACTCTCTAGATGTTGGTCATACTTTCAAAAATTGATCTACTTACCTATCTGTCATAAAGACTAGATAGTATGGATTTTATTCGCTTAGGTTATTAGTTGACTTTCTTGTTTAGGCAGGATATAAGCCCAGATGCATTAGCTAGGATACGGGTATTAGTGTTGGATGTAGAACACTAATTTCACCTTAGATTTAGGGTTCAAGACTACTATACTATGTATCTTCTAATACGCCTCATCGGTGGGGGTAAGTTCCCTTTTCTTCAGGGACTATAAATCCTGCTTATTCTCTTCACATAGATGACACAACTTTCCTCTTTTCCCTATGTATGCTTTGAGTGATTTATTTCTTTTCTCTAGTCTCTTCTCGGTGCCTCGGTCCCTCCGGATATTGGTATAATTCATGTGTGTTTACTAAACCACTTTGAGTAGGATTTCTTAGTCCCCCTTCTGTGCCAATCCCTCCTTTGGGAAATTATAATATTGCATCCTTAATCGAGAGTATTCTAAAACTCCGGCCTAAGATGTAATTAATCCAGGGTCTTTGCACCTCTAGGAAACGAAATTCCACAACAAATAAACCCCACTCGAGCTAATGTATTGGGTCGGGGAAACATCGTGACACTGATCAGGTCGTGCATATTATCACCCATCGGGGTGGCTGGTGAGAGCCGCTATCCTCAATGGTTGATCGTATGCAGGATCTAATCTACCCTCCCATTGGCCCGCTTGCGAAGAGCGCGGAGGCTTGCGATTGTTTCTATCCCTCGGGGTGGAGCAGTTGTATACCCTCTGCATTTCGTAGCGGCTGATCTCTTTTGGATCTCCATAGATGTATCAAGTATGCTACCTTTTGAGAGAAGCTAGCCTTTTTTTACCTAGACAATCGACTATGAATCTTATCAATGATAGGCATTTATGCATATTTTTGAAGGTTTTTTTTTTTGTGGAGTTGAGAAGAATAGCTAAGCATTTCAAAAATAGTTTCTAAGAATTATTTCAAGCCATGAATCTTAAAAGCATAATCAAGTTTTAATGATAAAGATTATATTTTGGAGATATTTATAATCTTATGAAGTGCATGGCTTAATATCAATCTTTGGAGACCATGTGAAAGCACTCCAAGATATCAATACAAGACCTAGGCTAACCCTACTTGTCTTCCTTTTCTGTACTTAGAATATCATTTAAAATCTTAAGAAAATGAGATTAAAAAAATTAGTCTCTATTGCAAAATTAGACCCATGATTAAAAAATCATACATATGATTCAAAATTACTATGACGAAATTCCTCATCGTAAAAGATGCTCATTGATCTCCCATTGCATTTCATTTTGCTTGCCACAACAACATTATCATACAAATGCATACATTGATAAAGATCCTGCCACATGTTGTCATCTAAAGATAAGATGACAGTCAAGTGCATAGGTGATTTATATCAATGCTATCATATATTGAAATATTTCTAACCCTATTGTAGTATATTTCTATTATATTTCAATTGATGTGGATGAGGATCTATCTTGAAGCCCTCCACATTTACTTTTCTAATTGTTTAAGTGCTATATTATAATGGATCTCTCCAATTATTTAGAAGTGTGCAATTATTGTATTAATATTTTGCAAAATATTGAGCCTTTATTGCTAGAAAACATTATATTTTTTACCTACAAAAATTTTTCATATAAAAATTATTTTCACTTCTTTATATTAAAGAACTTTATTCTCCAATAAGAAAGTCATCAAAATTTACCAAATTTTTTTTTTTTAAAAAGTTTTCCAATACACAATAGACTTCAATGCATGACCGCTAAGATCTTTCTCTAACTATCCCTTGTGAATTAAGGTCTTTGCTCAACTCAATTTTAATTTGTCTCTCTCAACATCACAGCTTTTTTTATGTTTCATTTGCGACAGTTTTCTTTATTCTTTTTAAAGCATCTTTCTAGTATCAAAAATTACATCCAGTTTTTCTTAGGCTTCGTTTGGGGCGTCATTCTTTCTGCTTCTTAAAACAGCTTTTAGTAAAATTTTTATACTAAAAAATTGCTTTAAGAAATATAAAGAAAGCCGTCCCAAATGAAACCTTAGTCTGTTGGTTCGATGCTTTGGCTATCAACTAAAAAATTTTGTATTCAAATTATGTATACATATTATGTGCGAGTCTGTATGGTATCCCTTAATTATCAAAAAATAAAAGAAAAAAAAAAATGTCAATTTGGCTAGTTAGTGGAATGGGTGATCTTGTAGTACCAATTTGGGCAAAACTTGATCGAATTTTCGAATGCTCAATTTTGGAGTTAAATTCACAGCCCGTCCTCGGCCTGTGCTCTTTGGCTTCCATTTGATGGCCCTGCGAACACTCTCTTCAAGGTCGAAGCGATCCCTTCCCTCCTTCTCCTACACATCAAGCCCTAGTTCTCCCTCCTACTCGCACGGCGCCTCCTCTTCGATCGACTCTTCTCTCTCCGCTACGCTGCTCGCCCACGAACTGTTCGATGTATTCTCCCAACCACCTAACGTCCGCGACTCCGACATGCTCTGCAGCCTCGGGCGCAGGCTAACCCCTGAGACTGTCGAAATCGTTCTTAAGGACCTTCGAGGATGGAGGGCGGCGCACGAGTTCTTCCGCTGGGCCTCATGGCAAGAGGGCTTCCGCCACAGCTGCTACACCTACAATGCCATGGCCGAAATACTTTCCAGGGCCCGCCGAAGAACCCAACTAAAAGCCCTGGCAAGAGAGCTTGTCGGACAGAGATGCCCAATGACACCTGGTGCCTTGGGATTCTTGATAAGGTGCCTCGGTCGTCAGGGGCTCGCAGAGGATGCTAGTTTTGTGTTTGACCATGCCAAAGATTTGAGCTGTATACCCAATTCTTATACTTACAATTGCTTTCTTGAGGTTCTGGCTAGAATGGGAAAGGTTGAATTGGTGGAGACGAGGTTCACCGAGATGGTGGAGGTTATGGGGTGGGAACCTGATAAGTATACACTTACTTCTGTCCTGCAATCTTACTGCAATGCTGGTAAATTGGACGATGTGTTCCGTATCTTTAATGAGATCAATGATAAAGGCTGGTTGGATGATCACATCTTTACGATTTTGGTCGTCTCGTTCTCCAAGTGGGGCGAGGTTGATCGGGCATTTGAAATGGTGGAGTTGATGGAGAATTTCGGAATGAGGCCAAACGAGAAGACTTTTCACGTGTTAATTCATGGGTTTTCTATGCAGGGAAGACTTGACAAGGCGGTTGAGTTGTTTGAGAAGATGAAGGGGTTGGGTTTGAATGGGGATTTACCCCTCTTAAGTGTGTTGATTGAGGGGCTTTGTGAGGGTAATGAGATCAAAAGAGCTTTAAGTTTGTATAAGGAAATGAAAGTAGTTGGTATCAATCCAGATCTTTTGTTGGCCAGGAAGATGATTTCCACAATTTGTGCAGAAGGTGATTTCATTACAGCTAACCAGTTGTTTGAGGAGGAAGGGGAAATTCTGGATTTGGATAGTTTAGTTTCGCTGTATAATGCCGTTCTAGATGGTCTTGTGAGGCGTGATGATGCTGAATGGGCTTATACTTTGCTAAAGGCAATGATGGAACCCCCAACTTCACCAGCCCAACATTTGATATTTCTAGAGGATGCTGGCTGTGAATCTGAATCATCTGGAAATACCATGTTTAAGATCAAGAAGACAGCTCAACCAAATGTGGAGTCTTTCGGTATTGTAATATGCGGTTTGTGCAAGATCCAAAAAATTGATATTGCTTTGGCTCTAATGAGAGATATGATTGCAATTGGTTGTAAAGGAAAAATACTGATTTATAATGATATGATTAGTGAGCTTTGTAAAGCAGATAGACTGGAGGAAGGTTATGAAGTTTTGAGGACAATGAAGGAATTTGGGTTTGAGCCAACCGAGTTCACGCAAAATTCAATATTTTATGCTCTTTGCAAAAGAGAGAACTTTTCTGGTGTTTTTGCTTTGCTCAAGGAAATGCGCCTAAAAGGGCATGTACCATGGATAAAGCATTGTACGTTGATGGTGGAGAGGCTTTGTAAAAATGGAAAAGTAGAAGCAGCTTATGATTTTTTAGATGGTATAGTTCAAATTGGTTTTCTTCCTGATATAATTGCATATTCTGCAGCTATTGATGGAATGTGTAAGGCTGGTAATGTGGAGAAAGCGCTAAGACATTTCCGCGATATTTCTTCCAACTGTTTTTTTCCCGATGTGGTTGCCTACAACATTCTGATAAATGGTTTCTGCAAGGCAGGAATGTTAAATTCTGCTCAGGAAATGCTAGATGAAATGCTAGAAAACCATTTAGTCCCTTCTGTTGTTACTTACAATTCAATGATTGATGGTTGGTGTAAGGCTAATAAAATGAGCGAAGCTCTTACTTGCCTTACTAAAATGGTTGATGCTACGAGAAAACCTAATACTACAACCTACACCAGCTTAATTGATGGCATGTGCAATGCTGGAGCACCTGAAGATGCAGTCTTGTTCTGGAATGAAATGAAGGAGAAAGGATGTGCTCCAAATGAGATTTCTTACACGGCTATTATACATGGATTATGCAAGTGTGGCAGAGCAGATGCCGCCCTTGTCTATTTCCACGACATGAAGCAGTCTGGATTTAGTCTTGGTACTTACATATATTTGTTACTGATAAATTCTTTGATTTTGATTGCTAAAATGAATGAAGCTTTTGAGCTTTTGAATGAGATCCTTCAGAAGGATTGCTGCCCTCTTATTGGTTCTAAGAACCACCAGTTGCTATTGAAAGCCGTGACCAACTTGTTTGAGCGTAAATCTCATCCTGTTGATTTAAGGGCATGAATTGGGAGGTTCTTTTGAAAAATGTGAAATTTAGATGACATTTAGGAGGCTATGACGAAATAAAATCATCTAATGCTGGAGGGAAGGGTGCAGAGAACCATATTGTTGGTTTGCATGCTTACTCATGGTTATAAGTTCATGAGCAAATCAGCTTCTCATGACAGCCCAATCAAACCCGGTTTGATCATATTTCTTTCATAAGAGATTGATCTATATCTTATCAAGCTGTTCATGAAGTTCTAAACTTAGAGAACGCCGCCTATCCCTAGGTATGTTTTATCTAAAGTGAATTGGGTATACCTTCATTTTTGTCCCTGAAATTTTCTTTTTTAGTATTTGTTTGGTTATTTTTCTGTCATATTAATACGGGTGATGCACATTACTAAATTTCTTCATGAAGCATTTTTGATGGGATATCAGTAAATATAAATTTTCATTCTACTGGCATTAAGTTGAGATATTCATATTTTTATTTGATGATAGTCTAGGACCACAAGTTTACTAGTCTGTTAATATACTGATAAGCAGTATTTATACACGTCTTTTTGTGAGAGCTTGAACCTTAGACCTCCACTTTAAATATGAAAATGCCACTCGACCAAGCAGTTGGTGGTATTTGTTTATTCGTTTTGTTGCTCTTTGCACTTCCAATTTCATTTTGTGTATGCATTTGTTAGGAAATACTTGAAGATCTCAAGTAAACTCTAACAAGAGAGACAAAAACAACAAGAACGAACCACAAATCCGATGGAAAAACAAGCAAAACAACAATTTTTATTGAAGAAATCATACCAACGGAAGAAATAATAGCAAGATGCAATGGATCCTCAATTCGAGAGGAGGATATATCTCTCCCAATCCCTAGACGCTGCTAGAGCCCAAGTCTCCAAACTCTAAAAACAAAAACAGACACAACAATCATGCATAACCCTAACCCTAATCTCTCTTCCTACTTAAAGCATGCAAACAATCCTCCTAGGAAAAAATACTCCCTTAGCCCTAGCTGCCCTTCCCTTTCTATTTGAAATCTTGAATGGGACCCACCCATGCTTTGATGGTAGCTTCAAGGGGGCGGACCGTTGGTTTGCCTCTTATAAACCTGGATCAGCCCTTGGCAAGGGGCGGGCTGGACCGGTCCATGAGGGATGGTCTAACAATACCTCCTCCCAAAGAATCACCTTGTCCTCAAGGTGAAAGGAGGGAAATTGTTGCTTCACACTTTCATAAGGTTCCCACGTAGTATTGTAGTTCGGTAGGCTCTTCCATTTGATTAAGACTTCCTTGGTTCCCCCATCTCACTAGCAAACCCCCATCAACTCTAAGGGCTCCAATATCACCTCCAACTTTTCTGTCAACATCCCTGGTAGCTCAGAACTTGCTGCATGATCACAAATTTCCCTCTTCAGTTGTGATACATGGAAACAAGATGTATGGTTGTTGTCGCTTGCAATTTCAGCCGATATACCACTACTCCAATCCTCTCTAGTACCTCAAATGGCCCAAAATATCTTGGAGCTCTTCTGCCTGTTAGGCCTGAGCTTCAGGAACACTATCTCTCCTATCTTAAATTGGATATCCTTCCTATGTCTATTTACCTGTCTCTTTATGATATGCTGAGCCGTCAGTAGATGTCTCTTTAGTTTCTCCAACACTGTTCCTCTCCTCCAAATACTCCTCTATTGAAAAAACTGGGATGCTTTTATGCCCAAAGTGCACCAAGTGAGGTAGATCTCGCCCGTAGGTAATCTAAGAAACAGAATGATATGAAGTATTGTACGAATACTCTGGCCATGCTAACCACTTGTCCCATAGTCTGGGTATCTCCGACACAAAACATCGTAGGTATGTCTCAATGCTCTTATTGACCACCTATGCCTGCCCATCTGTTTGCTGGTGGTAGGCGGTGCTCCTCTTTAGTTCTGTCCCCTGTAGCATGAATAACTCCCTCTAGAAATGACTGAGGAGCACATTATCCGTGTTTGATATTATAGATGCCAGTACTCTGTGTAACTTGACCACTTTCCTGATGAAAGTTGATGCCATGGTTACTGTTGTGTATGGATGTTGTAGGGGAATGAAATGGGCGTACTTGCTCAATCTGTCTGTTACCACCAAAATCACTGTGAATCCTTTGATTTGGGTAATCCATCTATAAAATCCATGGATACCTTCTCTCACACCCCGACCTGGTATAGCTAGAGGATGTAGTAATCCACCTGGAGACATGGCTAAGTACTTATTCCGTTGGCAGATCTCACATATGGCTACCATATCCTCCACATCCTTGTGCATTCCCTTCCAATACAACTATGAGGCGAGTCTCCTATATGTCTTTTGCACCTCTGAGTGACCTCTACAGTGTTTCCATGGAACTCCTGGAGCATGTGTGAAATATGGACTGATATACTAGGCATCACGAATCTCCCCTAATACAAAATCCTTTCGCCTTCTAAAGAGTACCTCGGGTGAGTCGGGTGACTACTCCCTTCCTTCAATAAACTAGCTCTGATCCTTCCTAACTCCTCATCCCTTACACTCTCCTCCTTGATGGCCTCCCAATATGGCATTAGTGTTATCGATACTACTATCACCTATAATTCTCCCATACATCTGGACAAGGTATATGCTACTTTGTTTTTCATTTTTGATATATTCTAAATTTCAAAATCATGCCCCAACAATTTTGACAACCACCTTTGATGCTCCTATGTAACCATCCTTTGCTCTAATAAGTACTTTAGGCTCCGTTGGTCCGTTCTGACTATGAAATGCCGGCCTAACAAGCAGGGTCGCCACTTTTGGATGAATAACATGATGTCCATCAATTCCCTCTCATAAACTTATTTTAGCCTGACCCTAGCTATCAACACTTTGTTGAAATAGGCGATGGGTTGATGACTTTGCATGAGTAGTGCTCGTAATCCATACCCTGAGGCATTTATCTCCACTATGAAAACTTGAGTGAAATTTGATAGGGCCAAGACTGGTATAGTGGTCATGACCTTCTACAAGCTCACAGAAGCTGCTGTGACTGCCTCTCCCCATAAGAACCCATCCTTCTTTAACTGTTATGTTAGTGGCCATGCGATGGTGTTGTATCCCTTAACGAACCTCTTATAGTAGCATGTCAGTCTTAGGAATCCCCTCAACTCCCTTACGTTCTTAGGCACCGTCCATCTCAATATAGCTTCAATTTTTGTCTGATCTGCCGCCACCTCTTCCTTAGAGACTATATGTTACAAGTACTCCACACTGGCCTAAGCAAAACAACGTTTCTTCAGATTGGCCCTCAGCTGCTGTTCCTATAAAACCTCTAAAACCCTCCTCAATTGCTCCCAGTGCTCCTCTTCCGACTTGCTGTAAACCAGGATATTATCAAAAAGAACTAACACAAATCTCCTGAGATGAGGTTTGAAGACCTTGTTCATGGGGGATTGGAAAGTGACTGGGTCATTAGTGAGGCCAAAAAGCATAAGTAGGAAATCATAATGCCTTTCATGAGTTCTGAAAGCAGTCTTTGGTACATCCTCTATTTTCATCCTGATCTGATAATACCCTAACTTCAGATCAATCTTGGTAAAAATAACTGCCCCACTCAACTCATCTAATAGCTCATCTATCACTGGTATAGGAAACTTGTCTGGCACAATTTTCTTATTTACTGCCCTGTAATCCACACAAAAAACTTCAACTCCCATACTTTTTCTTAACTAGTAATATTGGACTAGAAAAAGGCCTAATACTAGGCCTGATAATTCCTGCTTCTAGCATCTCTCTAATCAGCTTCTCAATTTCATCCTTATGAAATTTAGGATAGCGGTAGGGTCTGACACTGATGGGTGACATACCTTCCCTCAAGGTGATAGTATGCTTTTGCTCCCTTGGCGGCGGCAATCTCTGAGGTGGCTAAAAAACCTCACTGATTTGCTGAATCAAGGGCTGTTCAGAAAGAGGATCTTCCCCTCCCTTCAATATGATCCCCTCCAGCTTGTGTAGTTCCATCAGATAACCTTCCCACACCTCATGTATGCTCCTTACTATGGTTTTAAGTGATATCATGGGTTTGGAGAGCCCTGCATCTCCTCTTATCACTACTCTTCTCCCCTCTACCACCAGCTTCATTCTACATCCACTTCATCCCCAGGATGACATCAGTGCTCCCTAACTCCAATGGGAGAAAATCCTCCCTCACCTGAACCCCCTGTATGGTCAACACTACTCCTATACAGATCCCCTTGCTCGTCTCTGCCTTCTCTATTCCCATCATCACACCATAACACCTTGTATCCACCAATTTCACCCCAAAATTGGTTCACAACCTGGTTGAAAATGAAATTGTGGGTAGCCCCACTGTCAATCAACATCACCACCTCTGTGTATGCTATTTCTCCTTTCACTTTTATCGTATGATTCAGAGTGAATCTTATAACTGAGTTCAGGGATACCTTCGCCACATCTAGATGCAGCTTGTCCTCCTTATCTCCCTCCACCTCACTCTCACCTCCCTCTTCAGCTTCCTCGTCATCATAGACGGTGAGAACCTGAAGATTTCAATCTCTACACCTATGCCCTGGAGTGTACTTCTCATCACACATGAAGCATAGTCCCTTCTCCCTCTTCTTCTGCATCTCCCTCTCGGTCAGCCTTTTGAAATTTCTCCCACTTCCTCCTACTAGGCTCTCTTGGGAGTCTCACAAAGATTGTCTGCTGCAGGACCCTTGTGTGCTAGAAGAGTGGTAATCATTCTATAAGAGCCACCTGAACTGCTGCCCTTAACTCCCCTCTCTTGGTACTTCTGATCCTCCACTAGCTCTGTCAACTCTATTACCTCTCCCAAGTCATGAGGTCTCATGACCTTTATTGCGGCTCTGATCTCTGGTTGAGTCCCTTCATGAAATTACCCTCTAAAGCAGTCTCTGATAGTCGCTCCACTTGACAGGCCAAGTGCTCAAATCTCTTATGGTAATTTGCCACCGATTCGTCTTGCACTAGTGCAAAGAACTGCTCATAGAAGTCCCCTCCCCTATCTGTTCGGAAACGTTCCAATAAGCATTACTTGAACTCCCTTTAACTCTGTATAGGCCTCTTCATGTCTCTCCAATGGTATCATGACAATGCTTTCCCCTCTAAACATAAATCAACTGCCATCAATTTTTCCCCCTTCATCAACCCATTGACAGTGAAATATCTCTCCACGTTGTAAATCCATCCGTGTGCATCATTCCCTCTCCCTTCAAAAATAGGCATCTTCAGCTTTCGCATCTTTGCC